ATGACCTATGACTTCCATGGCTCATGGGAGACTATCACTGGGCACAACAGTCCTCTGTACCGTGGCTCTGGAGACACAGGAGACAATATCTACTTCAATACTGTACAAAAGCCTTATATCCTACTGTAACATTTCTGAAATACACTGCCCGGTCAAAAAAAAAAGAGAGAAAAAAAAAGTCAAATGCCTATTCATGGAAATAACATCACAACATTTATTTCCATCAAGAGGTTGGTCAAGATCTTGTATTGACAATGCAAGAGTCCAGCACTCTGTAAAGTCTCCTCCAGCACATCCCAAAGACTTTCAATGTATTTAAGGTCTGGTGCCAATTCATGTGTGAAAATCATTCTTCATGCTCCCTCCCAACCATTCTTTCACACATTTAGCCTGATGAATCTTGATATTGTCAATATGGAATATGGCCATGATGTGTCTTCCTACTGGTTGTTTAAGAACTGTTGTCAAACATACAGTACAACATGCTTGAAACATAATAATAATCACTGCAATAATGATCAAATCATAGATTTTTATTAAGCATTTGTCTATTAAATTGGCTGGGCAGTGTATAACTTGATTTATGAATTCTACTATGAGTCATTGCAAAGAACAAGCAGCTGAAAACATGCAACAGGAAGTAACTGCTTCATCATGACAATGTAGGATTTTGCAATGAGATACTGGAGAGATCAGGGTGCTCCTGTGGAGAAGCTGAGGATGGGCTTTGCGACATATGGAAGAACGTTTCATCTGGCGTCTGCAGCCAGTGGAGTTGGAGCTCCAGCTAGTGCACCTGCCTCAGCTGGACCTTTCACCAGAGAGAACGGATTCTGGTCCTATTATGAGGTCTTATCTTCAATCTAAACTCATGCACTTGCATCATAGCACAATATTTAATTGAGAAAAATAAAATCAGAAGAGTTATGGACTGATCATCTCCCATCAGATCTGTACTTTCCTTAATGGAACCACAGTGCAATGGATTGATGATCAGAAAGTTCCTTATGCAACCAAGGGACAGACCTGGGTGGGATTTGACACCAAGGAAAGCTTTACAACTAAGGTGAATATGTCATAAATGTTGGAAATTACATACAATTTAATGCAGTTCTCCTGCTTTCAATAATTAAATCTGTTCTGCTACAGGTGGCCTACCTGAAGGAGAACAAGTTCGGTGGAGCTTTCGTCTGGGCTCTGGATCTCGATGACTTTGCAGGACAGTTCTGTGGGCAGGGCAACTACCCTCTTATTGGGCAGCTCCGTACACTTCTTAATATTGGTACAGTACATCTCACATTTATAGAAGCAAAAAACATGCTTTGATAAATCATAATTATCATGTGAAGAGTCAAAATTAAGAGATACTGATTTATAATTATGAGATACTGATTTATATTTATGAGATACTGATTTATAATTATGAGATACTGATTTATAATTATGAGATAAACCGTCAGAATTATGAAATAAATGGGAAAAAGTAGCACATTGATAATCCTACTCCATAATTTTAACTAGTTATAATTTCCATTTGTCATAATTTTTTTTTGTTATCTCATAATTATATCTCATTTGGAATTTGTATCTCATTAATTATGTGCAAAATTTCATGTCAACTTTTTGTGATTTAAATTTTCGACTTTTGATCTAATAATTACGCCATAATTTTAACTTTGTCAGACTTATTAGTCAATTTTAAATTTGTCATGGCCTTTTTCATCATTTCAACTGTCATAATTTTGACATTTTATCTCATTATGACATAGTATCTCATCATTTTGACTTTTATATCGTAATTATTACTTTGTATCTAATGATTATATTAAATAAAGAATAGATAATGTATAGTCTTTTCTGCATCACCCTGTCACGGTTTATTTTGCGATAATAACGGACTGACTGTACATTATCCTTTATTGCACGGCTACTTCCCAAATAAAGAAATGATAAATATGTGGGCGTGAAATATTGATTTGAGTTGAAAGGGGTTCATAATATTACCCGTACGCTTAAGCGTAGCCATGGATGACGCTAAATATTAGGAAATATCAGACACTGGATGCCGTGATTAACCAGTCAGAATCCAGTATTCCAGGGAGCCGTGTAATAAACCAGATTAATAATTGGAAAACTTAAAATAAAACATTCAATTCCAATTTCCTCCTCCAGAGTTTCCATCTCTCCCTCCAAATACAACCGATGTGCTCAATGGGACCTCAACAACAGGGACCTCAACAACATCAACCATCACCGCTCGATCTTCTAGACCTCATGTTGTGCCGACAGCTCCCTCAGGAACAAAGTTCTGTGTAGACAAACCGACGGGGGGAATATATGCAAACCCAGCTGACCCAAAGACCTTCATTCATTGTTCTAATGGCATGACCTATGTACAGAGATGCGCTGAAGGGACCGTCTTCAATCCCAACTGCTTGTGCTGTGACTGGCCTAAGAATTAACCTCACGGTATCACGGTTTCACTATTCAGGCCCACTAGTGAATAGTCTTTATCTTTAAGTATTGTGTTGATGTATTCAAATTTAACATAAATAGTCAATGATACAATACTACTTTCGTCAAATATTTTGTTGGGTCTAAAAAAGGGGGCACAGTCTAACTTGTCTGATTAAAACTAACCTGATTAAAAAAACACCACTTGTCCACTTATTTTACATTTACAGTGTGACTGCACCTCTGCATCGTGGGTGAAGGTATTCTGCGTGCAGGTTTTTACTTGCGCTTCTAAGTTCAATTCATTTATTAGAATTTAGTTTCAATTTGATTTTAGCTCTGTGTTTAATCTGATTCCAATTTTAATGTATTATAACATTTTGAATGTTTCTAAATAGGAACTACTCACAAACATTGATTATGTATTCATTTAGATATTCAATTATTCTAGGTATCCAATACTTTCAATTATTTGTTCATTAGGGACACGATGTCGCACAGAGTCTCATGCGGGCCGGGTCTCCCCCTCGGGTGAAATCATGTTCCGGGAGGAACCGCAATACGACCGAAACGGCACTTTACTATTAGAGGTTAAAGGGGCAGGGGCCCAAGCCCTCCACCCCCCTGTGCACGCCACTTTCCCGTGACCCAAGAAAAACATTCTCAATCTCACCAGAAACCTTATGAGAGGCACACTTTAACAGAATTCTCAATCTTTCTCATAATATAAGTGACTGCTGTAAAATTGAGACCATTTTAGCAACCACACGGAGACATTTAAAATGAATGATAGCACACATGAAAGGGAAAAAGCAGTAGATGCACAGGATACATCATGGTATATAGACATTGTTAGTGAAACAGTGGCGTAGGTTTGATTTTGAAATTGGTGGGGACGGGGACATCAATATTTAATATATTTAAAGTTTTGATAGAAAATATTGCTAGGGATATATCAGTGTCACTGGATATTGGTAGGGACACGTCCCTAGCGTCCCTACTAAATTCTACGCCCTTGTAGTGAACTTTCAGCAGGGGTGAAAGGAAAAGGAGCGGGGAGAGGGGTTTTGGATGTGTGAGCAGAGATGAATAGGCAAATGGGTTTCTATGTCCTTGCTTCATGATCTTCAGATTAGCAATTTTACTGTTTTGTTGCATGCTGTCAGTTTTTTGTGAGAGCTCTTGTGTTCAGTCTTACAGAATTTCGGTATTACAGTAACCATTGTGATGTGGTTAATGTTTAAACGTATTTTTAGATAAGATATTTTTAGATACAATGTTAGAATATTTATCAGGAATTTCGGTCTTACAGTAACTGTTGTGAAGTGGGTAATTTTTAAACGTTTTTTTTTTAGAAAAGATATTTTTAGATACAATGTTAGAATATTAATCAGAAATTTCGGTCTTACAGTAACCGTTGTGAAGTGGGTAATTTTTAAAGTTTTTAGATAAAATATTTTTAGATACAATGTAAGTATATTTAATAGAAAGAAAATGCAGAATAAGAAAAAACACATCTCTGTTTGTATTAACAAAAATATTTATTAATTTAACCTTAACGTTCATGAAATTAAATCAATTTCATAAAAATAATCAATGCAAAACATTCACAGTTATTTTCAGACCATTTCAGTGCAAACAATAACTAAGAATTCAAATTAACATTCTAACAAACAATAACAATAACTTGGTGTTGAGCTACAGCTTGGTGATTCACGTGATATCCGAAACAAATGTTTATGGAGACATAATCAATCATAGTCTACAAAATATCTAATGATAATCTATCGGCCAATACTGCAATTTTTGAAATTGTACAAATGTACTAACTTTCAATAAAATCAATCAATAACTTTCAATAAAAAGTTAAGAAGAGTAGAATAACTATATAGAGAGCTGTATTTCTCAGAAAGTTGGTTCAAAACACCAAAGCAGCATGTCTGACCATGTAAAGTCAGAAATAAAAACTGTGTTTTCGTAACCAGAGATAACTAGTGAGATGTTTGTTCCAAACTCTATCATGTCCCCTGAAACAAGCAACACTTTCAAAAACTTTCAAACACAAAAAGTGACACTCAAAATTGTGGAAAATTCTATTAATCTTGAAAACCACTCATCACTTATTAATGATCCATTCGTCATCATAATGCCCATTTTGTCTGATTTATTTGCATAGCTAGCTTATTCTTTTTCAGCGAAGGAGCTCAGTTGAAGTGTAATTGTGCTTAGCAATGCTTTTGTTTTTGGTCAGGGTTGCTTATGTTTGCATTTAGTCAACGAACTTAGAATTATTTGGTCAGACTCATGACAAAATGCAATGACAAAATTACTACTAATGGTAATAACTAACAAATTTCAAATAAAAAAATACATTTGAACTATGTAGTATGACTCTTTATAGTATTCATACTGTATACTGCAAGCCACTTTGGGTAAAAGCATCTGCCAAATGCCTGAATCTAATGTAAACCTAAGTGCAGGGTTAATTATTATTAAAATTACACCCATGCCCTGCTGTCAACACCTGACAAACAGCAAACATGTGATGTGTTTTTTAAATCGTTCAGTAAGGAATGCAAGAATGAATCTTTATGACTGAAATGTTTCACACCTTCAATTCCTTTCTAAAGCTGTGGTATTCATTTTATTCCGATTTTCAATCTGAGCTCCTTGAGCTTTGTTTTAAAAATTTCACTCAGTGTTTTGAGATTAGTGTAAGTAACATCCCACCATTTACAGCTCATGCTGGCTACTGTGAGGAGGTGGCAACTTCCTGATGTCATTATTCTGGATGAGCTGGAAGTAGAACAGCACGATCTCTTCATAGTTCTTAATGGAGATTCTCTCGTTCACACCATGGAATCTAAAAGAGGAAAATGTGGCCTCAAGCTGGATACTCCACTACATTAATACAAAGAGCCATTCTGTCCTGTGTCTTACCTCTGAGGATCACCTGGTTTGAACCACGATGGTGCAAAGCGATATATGTCTCGGGTGATATCCTTGTAGTGACGGCTGTCAGTGTTGCCAACACAGATACCTGTGAGAGGAAACCGTAGAGCAGCTAAAAGTGTCTCTTCATAAGGGGAACTTAAGCAGAACTGCATCACTTCACTTACCAGGAGCCACTGTGAGCTGAGGAAACATGATTTGCACTGTTTTCTTTATGATCTGGAACCCAAAAGCCTGCTCATCATAGGAGCTGATGGGCAGCGGGTCGAATCCATTGACCATCTCTACCTTCACACGCTCATCTGATATGGTGGACTTGACCAAATCCAAAACCTACAAGGAGACCCCAAAAATGAAAGTTCTGTCTTTTACTCACCCTCACATCATTCCAAACACACACATACAAAGATATTTTGAAAAACAATGGGGTACAAACAGCTGGACCCCCCCTGAGTTTTATTGTATGGACACACATATCTTATTTTGTTACAGGTATCATACAGTTTTTCAGTCAAACATAATTGTCATTTTTGGGCAGAGCCGGCTCCAGACTGCGCTCAGCAAGGGGGCATTTATTTTCAATGGGTGGGCACTAGGTATGGGGACTTTTTTTTCGGATATCAGATATCCTATATTTATTATTGCTACTGCCTTTTCTGTTAGCTATTACCATGAAGTGATGCAACCCATACAATAAACACATAAACCATTACACATTGTTGCAAGACTCTGACCACAGCTTTATTATAAACAAAGCTAACGAACATGCACACCGTCTCTCACTGACAGGATATAGTTTAACTGCTATCTCACTGGCGGAAGAGAAAAAAAAAGCTACACATCTTTATTCTGCTTTGCTCAAACATAAGCGTTTACAGTAGCCTACTATTAAAAAGCATCATGTAGTTACCTTTATCATTAATCGACGTGGAAGGAGAAACTGTGGTTTTGAACCATTTTCTAATGTCCATTTTTGGAGCGTTTTCATCTGTTTGCTTTGTTTTGAATGCAGCCAGGAATCTCGCGTCAACTGAAAGTCATTTCATTCATGTATTAATCTTAAAGTGCTTGATTGGGGGGGCGGAAGGGGGGTTTCCTCACAGCGCCACACTGTGGATTTATGTTGGCTTTATTATATTTTCAGCTAATGGGCAGTTCGTAGACATATATTTTTATTATTTCTCACTGAAATGTGAATTAAATTAAACTGATATTAGTTTGTAAATTATATCATAATTCAATTTGGGGGGGCATTGCCTCCATACCGCCGGCACTGTTTTTGGGTGAACTATCCTTCTACAGTTTTTTATTCAGAGTAACTCATGTGAAACTGGTTGAGAAGGTATGAAGAGCAAAAGTTAATAGTTCAGCTAACTCTAGCCGGGACTAACTGTGCTTCAAGGCTAACTGAATGAGTCATAGCTGTGGCTTCAGCGTGACCTCTCACCTCCTGCAATGTTTGGGCTGAGTGGATGCGGAAATTGACAAAAGCTTCAGCGTATGACGGGATTACGTTAATCTGTAAGAGAAAGAGAAATATTCAGAACTCCATTCATGCTATAACTTAGTGAATTTACACAAAAAAAAGAGTGCCCCACCTTTACACCCGAGTTAAACATTGTGACGGCAGTTGTGGTCCTAACAAAGGCATTTGTGTCAGGTTTTCTCTCTAACACCCTGCATATCAAAAGGACACCGATATTATTATTATATTACTATGACAAGGGTTTTCCTGAGTATTTAAACGCTTATGTTGGTGTTTATTTACAAAGTTAGAGTTGGTTGCAATTAATTATTAATATGGTAAATCATATGTTAAATATTTTACATATATCCTGTTATGGCAAAGCGTAATTTTCAGCAGTCTCCAGTCTTCTGAAGACTACAATCGAGGAGTTTCAGGGAGTTCAGAAATAGTGCTTACTTATATAGAGAATTACTCCCTTTGGAGTGGACTTTGTAACTTTGCAGATCTTTTTCATGTGCAAACAGCAGCATTGCACACTAAAGAAAGTTGAAAATGTAAAACAGCATAATAGGTCCACTTAAATTGACTTCGGTGGTCGAAACCATTTTCAGTGCAGGAAAAATCCTGTATAAAATATACTTTGATATGACATTAGAGACTGTAGCGAGCATTAAGACAACCAATATGAACTACCTGCTGAGTAGCGGAGAGAAGAGCCACAAATTAGACATGATGAATCTGAGAGGCAAGCCAAACTACAAAATAAAATAAGAGAAATGGTTTGTTGAAAAGCAAGTCCGTATTTCATAAAATGTAGCCTGTAAAATCCTCTGCTTAAACACTTTTACCTTATGTGCCAGGTGTTCAAATGTGCCACGCTCAGGACCATAACCAAACAGTCTGGGCATCGGATTTTCCTCCAACCTGGGAAAAGATATTACCGAAAACATAATTCTTTAGCTCAATTTAATACTGCTGCCATGAGAATAATTTAATAGCAATAAATAAATCACTAAACAAAACATCTAATAAGAAGAAAAAGGATCCATCTTGAAGTATTTCCAACTGTTTTACAATAATGAAGCGTTTTAGGGGTTTCCGCTTGCCTTCTGACAGCTGAAGCCAAGATGCCAATGCTGCTCTCTCTGGGAGGCATGGATGAATGTCCTGGAGCGCTGCTGACACTCAGCTTTACCGTGGCCTGACCCTTCTCACTGATACCTATCCTACAAAACACACACAGGGCAAATATTACAAACTAATTCCATAATTAAATGACTCTGCTAGTAGAGTTGCTCAAAATAAGTCTCACAGGGCAGCAGGTCCATCCAGGCCGCTTATGACACCGTCCAGCACTGCCAGGCCTTCATCTAAAACATACTGGAGCTTCACCCTTCGACTCTTCAGGAGCTTCACAATATTGATTGCGCCATGTAAGCCATTCACCTGACATATAACCGTATAAATATGTGCATCAAAACAAGTGACTACTGGTCAATAAACTTGAGACTGACCTCCTCATCGTGACCCAAACCAATGTAGAAGCTTCTGCGAGGGGTGTAACCTCGTTCCAGCAGGTATTCCAGCGCCTGAAGGATCCCCTTCAAGAACAAACATTGTTACAGTTAGCTTTAGGTTGGAGTGAACAGATGTGCAATTGTTTGAATTAAGAGCGAAGCAGCGTTGTTTCACAGTACCATCACAGACTGTTTGTTGTCGATGGTTCCTCGTCCATAAATGAAGCCATTGAGCTCTTGAGCAGAGAAAGGAGGAACGTCCCACCCATCCGCCTCATCGGCCGGGACTACATCAATGTGAGCCAGCAGCATGTACGGCTCCAGATCAGGCTCTCTCCCAGGAACCGTGAACAAGTGGCTGTAGTTTCCCACCAGCTCATGTTTGACCAGGCTGGATGAGAAGACCTTTGGGAAGACTGAGACAGAAACCAGTCTTAAATAACACTCCTTTAGTTTCACTCAATATAAAACCTTATAATACTAAAGGGAAAGTAGTTAATTTCCATAAATACAGTTAACAAATAGTGATTCAAATATGATGAATGAAGTGTCAGTGAAATTAAGTGTTTAACCTTCAGAAAATGCTTATTTGCAGTATTTTTATTTATTTTATATGGGGTTTGGATTTTTTTGTTATCCTGTTACCAAAATTTAGGACATGTCTAAATCTTAAAGGCCAAGTTGTGTGATTACAATTGTTTTTAAATTAAAATAAGTTGATAATTAAAATATTTTGTCTTGACTGTCAGTTCAGTAGACTGTCAATTGTGTCATTTAAAATATTTGGTACAGATATATTTGATGTGTTTATTTTCTGTCACATCATTTGTAAAGCACAGTTCTCTCACCAAAGTTTATGTGTGTTTTAATAATTTAAAAAAGATAATGGGACACAATTAGCGGCGGTTGATGCTGCTGTGTAACGCATGGTGTCTCACCCCTCCTCAGCAGCCCGTCAAACTCCTGCAGCGCGCTCGTGTTCACATTCGTCTCAGTAAATGACACGGTGGGAATCTGTATGGCCGCTATGAAAGAGATGAAAACAAGACATTTGAAACAATAACATCATAATTACATGTGTAATATCTACAGGCAGCACCCATGTTGACAGCGCATCCCTTATCTCCGTTAACTGTATCTATATGTCTGCGTGATCTATTTACGTCACGTGACGAGTTGATGATCAGTATTTCTACGTTGTTTGTTACCTTTGAAGTTTACCAGCAGATTCTTCCTCTGTTGTGGACTTAAATGAAGAGAAATGGTTGTTGTATTTTCCCATTTTCCCAGCTGAAGCCCCGCGCCTACATCAAATGTAAACGTCCTAACTGTGGCAACAAGGAACAAAACTGTAATCAAAAATATGACACTAAACAGCAGCACCTTAAGAAACTTAAATAATTTCCAACGAGTGTTATGGCCTGTCATGTTTCAGGAAGTACGAAAGAGTCATTTCATAACCAGGGTTCATACCTCAACACCAATGTGATTAGAGGGCACGATCGCCCTCTGCTGCTGTGGATTAGAATCACAGGTTAAAGAGCCACTGCATATAACATGAACAAACAATGAACAGCTGGATTTAACATGTAGCTCTAACATTAACAAAGATTAACTAATATAGTAACAAAATGTATTGTCAAAATCATTGTTAGTTAATGTTAGTTATACATTAACTAATGTTAACTATTGAACCTTATTGTAAAGTGTTACCATGTTTGCTTATATAGCCTATAGGATTTTTTTTCTTTTCCAGTTCGGTGCTAAGGAAATATTCCTAATTTTCATTTAGCCTAACTTTAAGTTAAAGTTTTTTTTACCTAATATTTATATTTTATTTCAGCTTTATTTCAATTAACGGAAATTAATTTTAGTTAACAATAACAACACTGGTGAGACCATTAACATTATTTTTTATGCATTACAGTTTAGAAAACATTCTGTAAAATGTGATCATTTACATAAGAATCATCTCCAAGGCAAAATCATAAATGGCAGGTGATACAAGATAACAGGCAATAGGAGACAGACAGGTGAAAAACAACGGGGACTTAAAGTGAGGCATAGTTTAGATTATTCATTTTTCATACTCGTGTAATTAAATTGTAGTATAATATGAAGCAGTTGCACTTTAAACCACAGTCTGTTTATTCTGCAGTAACATTGAAGTAATTTATAATCTTATCATTTCTTTTTAGATCTGTACTTTCTTTCAAGGTTACTTTCGAAGCAACCAGGGAAAATATTGACTAGATTTTGGCACAAATGAGAGCAATGAAACAAAGGTAAAATACAGAAGTTATAAAGACTGTGTCAAAAGGTCTTTATCTGCTCTCTATCTTGATGACTTTGCAGGAGTCTACAGTAGTTCTGTATAGGGCAACAATATTCCTCAGCCAGCTCCATAAACATCTGAGTACTGGACCTTTTGATGTAATGTTTAAGTATTAATCATTGACAGTGTGACAGAGCAAAGTCAAAAATATAAACTCTGACATACAGAAGACTACTTGTGAAGTTGTGAAATATTACATACAAATGCAATAACCTGAAACCTAAGATATTCTGTTTCAAGGCAGAGGTTGTGTGTGCAAACTGCAAACCCAGCTGATCATGTCCTTCGTTCACAGAGATACTCTGTATGTGCAGAATTAACCTTGAGTTAGCAGCACTAACACAACAGCTAGTAAACAACATTTCCATTTTTTTTAAAGGTTTTTCAATAACAAGTAAATCTTGAGATAACAGAAATATTGGAAGGCGTATTTTACGTGGACAAGATGCATATACATAACTTTTAAAACTAATGCATAACTTTAAAATTTAAAATAACTATTGAAAAAAGATTTGTAAACACTGTGTTTTGAATGAAGACAAACCTCATAAATGGCAATATATTTGATATATTTACACTGGTAGCATGAGTAACCTAGTATTTAAAATGTCAACTACCTAAAGATACTATAGAAAGGAATTTCAAGAAAACAATTTTTATTATCAATTTTACATGCATCATTTCAAGCAAATTGAGGAAATACAGTTTTGGAGTCGGTAAGATTTTTTTAATGTTTTTGAAAGAAGTATTTTATGCTCACCAAGACAAATTTGTTGCAAATTTATTTGATAAAATATATATATATATAAAAAATGGTTCAATATTATTACAAATTTAAAAAACAGGTTTCTAGAAAACATTTAAAAATGTAATTTATTCCTGTGATGGTAAAGCTGAATTTTCAGCATCCTTACTCCAGTCTTCAGTGTCACATGATCCTTCAAAAATCATTCTAATATGCTGATTTAATGCTCAAGGAACATTTCTTATCATTATCAATAAAATTATCAATTTTGAAAAGAGTTGTGCTGCTTAATAAATTTTTTTGTGGATAATGTGATGATTAGAATCTTCTGTTAAATATGTATGTGTATATATATATATATATATATATCTTTACTGTCACTTTTGACCAAAAAATCTAAAATCTAAAATTTGACTGACCCCAACCTTTTGAATGTTTCGTACAGCTTTTATATTCAAGTTCATTTAGTCAGAACAAAGCTTATAAATTCCACAGATTCCAAAGCATGACATCTGTGTATTTTAGGTGCGAGGTGGCGACAAGTTCCTAATGTCACTATTCTGCATGAGTTGAAAGTAGAACAGCACAATCTCTTCATAGTTTTGGATGGAGATTCTCTCATTCACACCATGGAATCTAAAGGGAAGTGTATAAGCAGTTTAATATTTAATTACTTTTACAGCTTCAGCAGGAGTGCCATTTCTGCAGGAGTGCCATTTCTGTGTGTCCTACCTCGCAGAATCACCGGGTTTGTACCATGATGGGGCAAATCGATAAATGTCCGGAGACAGTTCAGTGTAGTGCCGGCTGTCAGTGTTACCCACACAGATACCTAAGAGTGAGAGAAGCTCTTCATGAGTCAATGATGTCTGTAAGGGGCACTTAAACCCCTTATGACAATGATGACGATGCTGAAAGCCTTACCAGGAGTTACAGCGACCTGAGGGAAAATGTCATGCACCGTTTTCTTTATGATCTGGTACCCGAATGTATCATCATCATAGGAGCTGATGGGCAGAGGGTCAAATCCACTCACCAACTCTACCTTCACACGCTCATCGGATATGGTGGATCCGATCAGCTTTAGAACCTTTAGAAAGTGAATGGGGCATTAATTATTTAACATTTGGTTTTAGTAAACTTTATGAAATATGTTCAAGTATGAAAATCTGCCATGGACGTACAACTAAAGAATTTGCATTGTTCAAAATGTAACCAACAGCAATTGAGTCATCATAATATTTGCATACTTAACACTGATTGGTGTTCTTTCCAACCTAATTAAAAAAAAAAAAAAAAAAAAGGATTGGTATAAAACTATACTTAAAAAATGAAACATAATAAACAAAGTAAAAGAAAAACATAGGTGGAATTAATAATAAATAAAACAAAAGTAAAACCAAGTATATACAAACAACTGAAATAATTAGCTACTTTATAAAGCTCACATTTGTTTCAGTTTAAACGTTCTTAAATAAGTCTTAATGGTTTGTTTATTTAGAGATTAAAGAGATTTTTTACTTTATAACTTTATGATACAGTACTCATAACTTTAGTTTTGAGAGTGATATGGATAAACAGGCGTAAAGACAGAAATCTTTTCTGTCTTTATGTCTGTTTATCATAATACTATCAGTGTCTGCAGTGTAAGCGTAACGCATTACAAGTAACGCGAGTTATGTAATCAATTACTTTTTTCAAGTCACTATTAAAGTAATGCATTACTTTTAAATTTACAACAAAATATCTGTGGTACTTTTTCACATAAGTAATGCAAGTTACTGTTTTCCCATTTATTGACTGACAGCTCTCCTGTCCCCATGTTGAGGGAAATCAGGAGTAAGAGGCGTTGTGTGGGGTGTGTAAACATGATGGTTATTGTAGTTCTGGACTAAATGTGAGCAGGCATTTACTCATCTCACTTTCACAAAAACATATTCAGTATTCCTCAAAATAAATAAAAACAGTGAAATGTATAAAATAAATAAAAACAGTGAAATTCTGAAATAAAACTCAGAATATTATGAAAATCTGCAATAATTAAATATGCTAAATAATACAAATATACTTCTTTATTTAATCAAACAATTTTTAACCAATATCTTGCCTTCAATGATCCAATAGGCTTTATGCACAGCTTCACTACTTCCTGAACTTTAGCCAGCTCCTTTGTTTCCTGTCTGCCATTATTGGACAAACTGATTAATCCAGGTGTGCCTGATTATTGTTACTGAGGCCAGGCACACCTGGATTAATCAGTTTGTCCAATAATGACAGACAGGAAACAAAGGAGCTGGCTAAAGTTCAGGAAGTACTGCAGCTGTGCATAAAGCCAATTCAACCATACGGATAAGAAAAATGACTTCAGATAAACATCCCATTTGTGTTTTTTGTTTTGCAGTATTAAGAGTGTTGAACTTTCTTCTCCTGCATTTGTTTGAAAGGTTTGTTTGAGCTGCACCTCTGCTGTACAGGTGTGAATGTGCATTTTCTTCAGTCTAAGACTTATTCATTTCTCTTTTTGTGAAAAAGTGCCTTTACATTTGCCAATTTTATTTTGTTACAAAAACAAAAAAACAGCAGGCCCAGCCCAGGTTAAAAAAAAAAGTAACGCAAAAGTACCGTAATGCATTACTTTACATAAAAAGTAACGCAATCAGGGGTTTTTTAGGGAGTAATGTAATATTGTAACGCATTACTTTTAAAAGTTACTTTTCCCAATATTAAATGTCTAAGGGTTGGGATCTAAAACTTCCTTGGTTGTCAAGCACTGGTATTTCCTTCAGGAAATGCAAATAGTTAAAAGTATGAGCTAACAACATGTGCGAATTCTGTGGCTACAGCGTGACCTCTCACCTCCTGTAATGTCTGGACTGAGTGGATCCGGAGATTGACAAAGGCCTCAGCATATGCCGGCATTACATTAATCTGTCAGAGAGAGAGAGAGAAATAGTCAGATTTCTATTCATGTTAAGTGTATTTTTATGTAAATTTGTGTATAAACAGAAAAATAATGAATGTGAATGACAACCCACCTTCACACCTGAGTTAAACATTGTGACGGCAGTTGTTGTCCTCACAAAGGCATTTGTGTCAGGCTGTCCTTCCAAAATACTGCAAATGTGATTCGAAAGATGCAGATCAGAGCATATACTCATTAATTACTGTATAGAGCAATAATGTGGCCTACCCGCTGAGCATTGAAGAGAAGAGCCATAGATTAGACATGATCATTTTGTGTGGCCAGCCGAACTAGAAGGCAAAAGAATAAAGAATAAAGCAATTCAGTATTTGTAGGAGTGTGAAACGCATTTTAAATCATCTTTGATTTATCACCTTATGTGCCAGGTACTCAAAAGTAGCACGCTCAGGACCCTGAC